GATGCCATGCACCTGCATCATTTACAGCACGTACAAGTTACGAAGTATTAACAGCAGTATCTCTAAAATGTGCCACCGCAGGAGGAACACAGGTGTACTGAATCACATTTTAATGACTCCCTTTGGACTTAGGTGCACTAATGCCTAAGATTAAGTCAAAATTCCCCCCAAAAAGCCTAAAGTGTACAGTTAGAGTGTACTAGCATACCTGGTCATTGAGCCAGTTCTGTCCGTACAGAGTGCCCAGGTCGTCCATGGTCAGAACATGCCGCTTGTAGTTGACTCTGAAGGTTTTAGCTACAACAGATCCTGATGAGCGGTGGAAGGAGTGTATTAGATGTTGGACCACTGCTTTTCTAAGGAAGAACGAATCAAAATCAGATGTACAGTTAGCTCCATGTATTCAGACATCGCTAATGAAAGCTTTCATTACACAGCCCAAATCAAAGGATCGCTACAGCAAGTGAAAGAGGACACCTTTGCTGCAAAAACAAAACAACTGCAGTTACATAGTGATTCTGTGAACATTAAGTTGTGAGTTGTGAAAACAAAGCTTAACGTCTCATTCACCCAAACATCCATGCAAGCATGTTTCTGTACATCTAAGAGCTTTTAACCATCTCCACACGCCGCTGAATGCCTCACGAGCAACTCAAGATTCTGCAGCTTCCCCAAGGATACCGAAGCATGCAGCCTGGAAAAGCTAATGGATAAAGAAAACACCAATTTTCCGATGAGTAGATGACCTGCTCTACGTTCACAGCCACACTAACCCCGGTTCTCTGAAAACCAAGTGAGCTATGAAGTATGCCATCCTGGTGTGACCAATCACGGGAGCTCCGCTTCCACCACATCAAGAAGATGGTTCAAGCACACAGGGTCCCCAGACCCCCTCTATAGGAGCCCCTGGCTCCACACCAGGCAAGTGTTTCTTTGATGTGACCATGAAGTCCGGCAGCATGGTGAGATACAGGCTTTGGTTTTCAGAGAACTGGGGTTGCTCGTGTAACCAAACAGTGTGTATCTCACTACAGGAGACTGCATGCTCCAGAGACTATAACACCTCGACCGAGGACACGCCCGAGCTCGGTACGGAGCTAACAGCATGCTAAGCACCAAGAGTCCAGTGAGTGCACAGTCACATCAAGGCCAAAAACAAAACCCTAACACATGTGTGGGGATGCAACACCCTTAAAAAGAGAGCCCCTAAAGGGTCCACCTTCATCTGGTGGACTTAGCAGGTCCACAGCAGAACTACCTCACTGTGGTTGGAGGGAAAGCTTCCACAGGAAGTATTGCTACATAAAATTCACTCATCCCCACACACTCCACAGGCTCAAAACTCAGCTCTGAAACTCTGACACTGCGGCTAAGTCCCAGGAGGGAACAACCTGTTTAACAGCAGGCGTCAGGGCCCCTTATCAACTGCTTCATTCCCAAATGCAACATGGCTGAAATTGGAGCTAAACACACTTCAATAGAGGGAAATGCTCCTAACTTATCCAGAAAATCCTGAAGGAGCAAAACACATTTGATTACGAGCTGCACACATGTCTCAAATATGCATCAGTAAGTGATGGTGTTGAAGCTCTACGTGGTCTCAACCGCCCTCAGAGTAGTGCTGCAGATTACAGCGTAGATATGGACACCAGCTTAACCTTTACTGCACAGAAGGATGAGAGAAGGATGGTAACAACACAGAACACTGTTAACACAACAGCATCACTACGTCTCACCTGTGTGGGTGTGAGAAGTTTTCATTGAAGATGTCCTGAAGTTTCTCCACAACATCATCCACGTGGATGGGGATCAAACTGCCATACTGCCGTAGCGACTCTTCCAGAATACCTCGAGACAGATGACAGCCACATGAATGAGGGCTGCGCCACACACAGGTATAATACAGGTAACATCATACAACATGTCCAGCTGAGATACATGCATTTACATTTGCGAGCACCAACAATGGGCAAACCCGAGCAGTGAGTTTCATACTGGCTGATGTTCAACAACAGAGGACGTCCAGCACAAACTGAAACACACTCTGTGCTCCTCCATGAAGAGCACAAGGCTGTGACGCAGCAGGGTTACAAACCTGTGAGACTGTACAAGCTCTGGCTCACGTGCTGCTAACGGTCACATGTTCCGCCTCCATCACACATGATGTTAACCATACAAACGGTCTTCCTGCTACCCTCTGGATAAATAACAGTGTGCAGCTGCAGCACTGTGGAAACGCCACATTATTCATGTTCAGTGTTTAGTGCAGTCGAGCTATAGTCCATATTCAACTCGTATTCTTTGTGTCAATACTTCACTTTAACTCTTAGCTGTCACCATGTAAATGCCAGCGTTTCACCCACATTTCAAACTATCTGGGAGCAGCGAGTGACAACGTTAAGCCCCACAGCTCCCAGCTTTTAAACAAAAAGCACCAGTGAAGATGATGCTGCCATAGTTTAATGTCCACACACACTAAACAGAAGTGTCAGTCTTCCACAAAAGCACAGCAACTCGTTAGTTTTGTACTTCGTTTAGATTTCATATAAACCACATTCATGAAAACGATCCGCTAAGCTGAAAACAGTTTATTTGAGAACATGAACACAAAGGTTTCATTTGGTTTTTGACAGATGTCAAACTTTAAATGAAAAACATTTGTAAGATGAAACCAACGAGCAGTTCATGTTGAGACGTCTTTTCCTCTTATCACGGCTCATTAATGACATCCAAATATTTCTTGGTTAATGATGGAAATCAGTGGAATACTCGATTACTAGGATAATCTCACCCACCTGCCACAGAGGCAACAACAGGGAACGAGTGGGTACAAAGACACAGCTCTGCTTTACACGGGTCCAGAAAGACTTTACAGAACCAGGTTGGACCGACACGGCACTGCTGACACAGTTACACACGAGACATACAAGGCCACAGACACAGCATGAACTGTTACTGATGCATCACACATGTGAGCATGTGTTACAGTACACTCTGTAACATGAACACTGTAGGACCCCACATTGATGCTGACATGAGAAGCAGCGCACACTGAAACACAACAGGGAGGTACACAAGGACGGACATGAACCAGGACGTCACCCAGTCACAATGAAGGGACGCACTACAGGAAACACGTGTCAGTCTAAAAGCAGTTTAGAGACTCACAGCTAAAGACAAACTCTAGACCCAACAAAGACAGCGGACACCTCAGACCCTGGACGTAAAGTCCGGATCGCTGCAGTCAAAGCAGCTGTCACGTGAGGTTTACAGCTGAGGATAACAGGACATTATGGAGGAGCAACAAGTGTGTGGACTGATTGGTGCCTCCATATATATATGAGATAAAAGCAATGACAGCTGGATGAATCTCGAGTTATGGGGTCCCGGGCTGCCGTGTAGAGTGTCCCCCGACTCAGACATGTGACGTAAGGAACATGAAAACTGTTATGTGGAAACATCCTTCCTCACTATCAGTACGACACATTCAGCATCTGCAGCTCAGACTGTTCAGTAAGGATACGCGTTTAACTCCAAGACTGATTCAAGTCTTTGGGTATTAAGACAGAGCAGACGTCATGTTAGATGCGAGCTGGCAATCGCCGCTGCTGCCCGTCAGCCTCCTGCTAGACACACGATGTTTTTCATTTTCAAAGCCTACGTCGCCTCATTCACAAGCTCTCACATTCAGAAAACCTGACCTCTTCAGCTCGCTGACATTCAAACTCGTCCAAGACTTGATGCCCATGCTGTAGCAGTTTGAAGCGCCTACGTCGCCTCGTTCTCACATTCACGACCTTGAGCGTCCGTGCTGCCCACGCTGGTACTGCACAAACATTTAAGGCAAGGCTAGAAGCATTTGTGATACATACCATTCACACAACTTGTGTGTTCTTCAGTAAGAGCCAGCTCTGCCGGCCTGACCTCTGCCTCCAGGGTCACTCGGTCCTCCTGCTTTCCTGAGGAGGAGCCGTTTATTTGCTGATCTGCCAAAGGAAAGAAATCATATTTGTTATGGAATCTGCAGACTCAGGCATTTTTATCAAATTCCAAAAATAACAGTTAAATCAATTTGGGTCAAAGGTAACTTAACTGCAACCTTTAACAGTAACAGGGAGGCTAAACTAAACTCTACTAAGCATGACGCTGCAGCGTATCACAGCTGGTGTCACTGCAGGTTATGGAAATGTATTATTATTCCCACTTATTCAAATGCCTCGTGGGGATTTGTTCACAAAAGCAGTAAAACTGGTGACTGAAGCAGACTGAAAACATCTGTTATGGTACTCTGATTGTTGCCACTGACAAATCATTTTAAATGCCTGCTATTCCCATTACTTAGCATTCCCACACGAATAAGTACCTCTGTCAGACTCTGTGTGCCCGTCATCACTGCCGTCATACTCCTCGTGCCCGTACGGGGGGCCCTCATACCGTTTCAGTCTCCTCTGTTCTCTTTGAGTGTTCCTTTGCCCTTTGTGGCTCCACCTGTGTCTTACGGAGCACATCCACCGGGCCTGCTGGCGCCAGCTCTTCCAGTGCTGAGAGAGCCGAAATCCAAGACCTCCACGGCATCGCAAACGCTGCAAGCGCCCGAGTCTTCTCAGAGCCCTGTACTTGCTTAGGCGGGACCTAAACAAGTCTCCCGCTTCAGCCTGGCTTAGTGCGTGAGCTACGGGGGCCTCGCCGATCTCTTCAGCCTTCTGTTCTGGTCTCTGATGATCGTGCTGCTGTGAATGAAGGTGCTCGGAAGACTGGGAAGAAAAATCTGAGATTCCCCACTCCTCCACCTCCTGGTCTCCATCCTCTTCAACATCTTCATCCTCGTTGTTTTCCAAACTCTTGCTGTCAAACTTACCCATGTCTTCCCCATCAAAGTTATTAACTTCATCGTCACCTACAGCTTCAGTCCCACCTATGCCATCTTCCTCATCCACTACATATTCACCCGTCCACACCTTTTCTTTATGTTCCAGTCTCAGGTGCATGGGGGTGGATACACTGTGATCTGACACTGGGACTATGAGGCGGTCCGCTGGAATCCCACCTATGAAACAAACAGCAGTGATTATCGTCCAATCAGGCATCACGACAGCCCAAAAGTACTGCTGCAGCTCATTACAACAGGTAACAATGTATCTATGAGCTCTTCCTACACAATATAAACAAGGCACACTTATCTGTACTTATCTGTATCACATTACTTAGCAACCACCTACCAACAGGCCAAACTATCCCATTTGTAGTGAGCATGGACCTCTGACACATTAAAAAAGCATCGTATCGTCTTCATTTCACTAAAAAAATAACATCTACCCCACAGTGCTGTCCAAAGGCCTTGAGTCACCCCCTCAGGCTTACTTTGAATACTTGAACACAGCCTTAAGTAACAGCTCTAGCTGCTGCTTCAGTTTTCTTTGGGACGTCATTAATTTTTTATTTTTGGAGGTTTGGTTTTTGGCCTCATTTCACTCGGTGACGTTGGGGATCTTGTCAAAATCGAAATCTGGAAAAGTACGTCCAAATTTGGGTCGACCCTGCAAAACCACGAGGAAACGTTCCGCCTGGGAACACATTCAATCATTCGTCTGTGTGTTTAGTATCGGTTAATCCCACATCCTTTGTATCCTGGCAAAGAGAGACTACCAGAGTCTGATTAGTGTTTGTTGTATGATCACCAACAAGAGCTTAAAGACACTATAGAAAAGCAGCAGTTATAATAAGATGAGCGCATGTGTGCATACATTCAGTCCGTGTTTATTAAGGTATCGATGTGTGCCGTGATCGCTCCGTCCTCGATAAGGAACGATTCAATGAAATATCCTGGTGGGAAACCTAAGCTGCATGCTGGTTTCACACACCACCCACGTCCACGTTTTAGATACCAAGTAGATCGGGGGTGGGGAACTCCCGGCCTCAGGTGTCCTGCAGGTTTTAGACCTCACACTGGGTCAACACACCTGAATCAAACGAGCACAGGCCTCTGGAGAACTTCAAGACATGTTGAGGAGGTCATTTAAATCAGCTGACACATCTAAACCTGCAGGACACCGGCCCTCGAGGCCTGGAGTTCCCCACCCCTGATGAAGACTTTGAAATCAAAGACTTTCTGGGGCCCCTGAGGGCCACAGCTCACTGCTGGACTTCACTGGTTACTAGATCGATTTTTTTAAAATGGCATAAAAAGCAAGTTCTTAAAACATACATGAGACACAATAAAGAAAAAGGAAAACAAATTGAGGCAAGTTTTATAAACCAACGCCACACTGTTGTTGAATATTCACTCATTTATCACCGACATTTAACTTCAGGGGCACGGAGAGGATGAGAAAGTCAATGCCGGGACTCCAGCAACACGTCATCAGGGTGATGATGACCCTGATGAAGGCCACAAGTAACTCAGTAAAGTTGTTCCTCTTTACTTTTAAGTGTTGTGTGTTGTGACGTTTCATTTCAAAAATGAAAGTGACCTCGTGTCCATCAAACTCTTAGGGTTTCCACTGATGCCTGACCCAGTGGTCTGAACGTCCACCCTACTGGGGGGTAAATATTTTACACACAAACAGTGAGTGCAAACCTCCTCCTGTGTCGTTCTGCCCCACAGCGGTCAGACCCAGGTCTCTCTGCCAGCGGTTCTGGGCTAGGCTACCACCACTGTCTCGCATTATCCAAGAAAAACCCACAACCTGCGCCAGCTCGTCACCTACAAACAAACACAGTCTGCAACGGTGGGAGAGAACACAGTCAGTTCACAAAGTCCACAGTGGACATCAGAATAACACAGTAGATGCTTCTGTCTGTTTGGATTTTTAAGTGACAAAAAGAAAACTCTAAGAATCACTTTGCTTCATAGAGATGCAGTGTTATATACCAAAATGTAAAGATGAAAGTACACATTTCCATGCAGATTATTCTAGTTTGTAAATTACAACGATATGCAGTTGAGTGTTTTCACAGCATTTATACATGAGTTGATCTGATTCAGCATAGATCCAGCACTGAGACAGTGCTCCATAGGCAGTACAGGACACTCAGGACCCTGGGATAGCCTGTCACAGTCTCAAAGCATAACCTCCATTATATTGTATTTTTTAGGGGAGTCTCTAACACTTTAGGGCTACCGTGGACCCGCCATGTCTTACGATAAAATAAGAACTGGGTGGTTACAAAACATATTCATAAGTAGCCTATAAAAGACAACTTCACACGAATGAAAGCCTATGGTTCAATAAAAAGTAGAAGTATTAGTAAATTTCATTAATTTGACATGGCAGCGCTTTTCTAATCTTACTGAACACTTGTAATGTAAACAAGCCGTTACATAGTCTTGACTTGTTGTTACGAAGTACTGAAGCTAATTTTGGCACAATTATTACAAAACAACTACTAGGAATATAAAGGCAGTAATAATGACCTAAACCCCCCACGCCGTAATTTTACAACTAACGCGTGGGACCGTTTCAGTGGGCAGCCACAGGCTTTGCTACACAGACAGAATACACGTCCCGGTGCCTCCACGCTGCTTCACTTATCCTGCTCACTGATGTTAGTCCTGCAGTTTGTCTTGCTAGCTTCACTCCGACCACTGTGTGATGACAGCGGCATTGACAAAAAGCGACAGGAACTACACGTAGCTATGAACTTAACTGTTTACGTGCAGGATTAAAAAAATAAATTACTAAATAAATCCTCTTCTCGATAAAACTCTTCCATTATGAACACTTCTGCAGGAAATAGTCTACACCAATGCTATCTCGTGAATGCTAATAGCTAGCTTACCGTTGCCGTGGTTTCATCAAATTAGACTGAATAAAGCTCACACCAACTGCAAACTCCTTTTTATTATAATATATCATGACTATTGACAACCAAAGCATCAACACGAACATAAGAAATAGGGTGAAGTTATTCTAATTTGCAGAGTTCTTTAATTATCTGTTGAGTGTGCGGGCTAACCTTTGAGCTATAACCATGTTGTCCTCAGCTAGCTAAGCGGACTGTAGGCAGATACCATGCTAGCAGAAAAATAAACCGCCCAGTGTGCGTTTGTTTCCTAGCTAAATGTTGCCACTGCATGCTTACCCTTGATCTGTAGGGGTGTAAAAATCTCTATCCGCGTTCTTCTAACAGAATGTGAGCGTATTCTGTGTGCAGAACACTGACCCAAAACAAACGCTAATTGATGTTGAATCTCATTCAATGAAGTCAAGTGTGGGGTAGCTGTTTCCACCCTCTCCCTCCGCTTCCTCTCTTCTTCGTGTGTTTGAAGACGATTGGCCATTAGCTGTTAGGCACTATACCGCCCCCACGTGGTATGGTGTGGTATAGCGGTTGGAAAGACTCAAACTCGGACTTCAACGTTTACCGGTTTCCTGCTTGTTTTGTACAGACCATCATGGAACTAAAGGAAAACAGATTCACACGCAACAGGTTCTGTCCATGTCTACGGTTAGAAGATGGAACGCGTCGAGTGACCCACATTCATTCAAACTGAACTCTGAGGCGAAAGCAGTGACATTAAGTTATTGTTTACTACTGTCAGGACTGAATATTGAGCTGCAGAGAACAGCAACTCACTGATAATGTTCAGCTGAACTTACCCTCCCAGCGTGCTTGGCAGTGAGAGCAGCTTGCTGGTTCCTGTTGAACTGACGACTTGCATCCTTCGCAGTTCATATTTCAAGTCATAGAAACCGTTTTCCATCGCTCACATCAACAAATCGTAGCTTTGATATATTTTTTATTGTTCATTAACCACTTGTGTTTGTTTTGAACTCACTGCAGTACGACTACAGGTACACAAAAACGTCACAGACTCTCTAAAATGGCACGGCTACAACGAGCGCTTGAGTGATTTACAGATCTATTTGAACCGTTACCTTTTTTATGAAATTTGAAAGCTGTTCTTAATACAAACTCTGTAAAGTTGATCAAATATGAAGCATATAAAAATAAAACACTGGCCCTGAGATACTGCTGGCGTGGCACTGGGGTGCCGAGACTGCTTTGAGCTAGCAGCCACAAAGGCTTCATGTTTTTGGGGCTCGCTGGTCTGCCAGATCGGACAACGTCTGGACAGTCTGGGCCAACCGACTCAGGCCTTCGTCCTCCATGATGAGTTGAGGGGAACACAAAGAATCCTGGAAGGGGACGGAAAGAGCAGGAAGTAGATCCAAGTAAGAAACATACACTTCTACACATTCACCAGTCACTCATTAATATAAAGGTAACAGGGTATGTCCAGCTTCATAACTTTGATAATGCTGCATATTTCTAAGTGTGGTTTGATCAGATTTGAAAAACTTTGCTAAGGAGACAAAACCAAGGAGTCCTGTCACTTAATGAGAGGATGCAGCTACATCCCAGTGCAAATGTTCCCCTGAATACCAGAGCATGACTTTTACTGACGTATTCATTCTTTACTGAAGATGATGCATTTGACTGTGTGTACTTACCCGTGTGAGCACGAGCTGCCTCAGGACTAATGCAGGTGTTTAAATGGGTTTGAAATACAGATGCTGCTGTCACTGTATTATAGAAACTCTGAAAGGTTTTTGTTCTTCTAACAGAAAAAACTGAACCGAGAGGTTTCAGACTCATTAGCAGGTTTCATATTAGTTTGATGGTTTGTCACAACTCACACATGACGGGTCGACAATGAAGACAGATGAGACAGTTTCAGGAGGCGAGGTGGACGCATGTAAGCTTCACAAAATGAGACACTGAAGCTGCAGGAAGACACAACAGCAGCAAAGCAAACAGCAGAGAAGCACCAAAAAGGTCTTTTGAAATCATTTAATTACAACAGACAGAGTCAAAAATCATCCTCGTTAGTAAAAGGTGTAGAAATATACAATACAAATGCATTTGGACTAACATTAAAGAATATGTCTGCATCACTGTGGATTTTATCAGTTAGTGTTCGTCCAGTTTGACCTACAAAAATATTCATCTGAGCTGAAACAACAGCAGAGTTCATAAAACTGTCAGATATAAGAAGCAGTTATTTTGGTTTTACAATGGACAAAAATCTAAATCAGTATAAAACAGCGTCCTCACACCAGAGCCAATCAATCCCACTGCACTCACACTGAGGGGGCGGAGCAGAGCCAACATCGCCATCGTGAACGGAGCTCAGCTTCTACAACTATCACTTGCACCTACTTCATATATCATGTCTAAACTGAAATAAACACTTGTGTCCTTGATTTTGCTCGGTCATTGGTCTGTAACCACTAAAAAAATAGAAATTTAAACACCATAAAACAATAAATACAATAAAATTTCCTTCAGAAGAACCTGTTGAAACAGGAACTCCAGAAAGTGAGAATTGTTAAATAAGCTTTAAACAGAAAGTAAGGAAACGCTGTTTGTTCTCACACAGCGAGTCCTTCACCATGAAAACCTGCCACAGCTTCTCTGTCAGCACCAAGCAGCCTATTCTGACACTCTTACGCTGACCATGTGGTGCTGACAGTCAGGTGCTGGCTGGAGCCTGAACAGGTCAAAGTGTGGAGGTGACATAACGGGACTCTTACCTGATAAGGTAAGAGAGCAGCTTTGGTGGGAGATGCACCAAAGCTGCTCTGTTCAGAGTTTGGGGACGGTGAGGTTGGAATAGCCTGGCCACAGTGCTGACCTCAGTCCCATCAAACACTCCTAGGATCAGCCCGTTTGTCCCAGCCTAACCAACACAATCACACCAGTTGACTTGTGACGCATGCTGGTCAGAGGCCGTCCAACAGCAGCGTGTGAGCTGCATGAACCCAGGCTGCTGTACCTGCGTACGGTTCTTCCACAGGCCGATGAGTCGTGTTTCAATCCAACAAGCAGAATAAGCTGTTTGGCATCAGCAGAGAAGGTCTGGCAAGTTTTTCCTGTTATTTCCTCACAAACGTGGCACATTTAAGGGGAAACAGCCGCTCCTGCCAAGCAGCACAGTTACAGCACAGAAGTGCTCACACACAAATGTGCACACTTACTGTTTGTTTAGACGTTTGTTACACAACTAAATTTACAATAGCTTCTGATTCAGGTACCGAGTGCTTCACATTAAATAATAATGATGAATGCAGTGTGTTACATGTAAATGAGCCCATAATCTAGTTACATAGAGAATTACAGGTGGACCCATGTAAGTCTGGGATAACCAAAGTTCATATGAAACAATAACAGGAACAGTGTAACAGGAAGGCGCTGCTCGCCGCTCTGAGCCGTGCTGCTCTCATCTCGTCAGCTTAAAGGCTCGAGGCAGCTACTGTCGCTTCATATTTGGTGCCATTTATATAAACTGGCCCACAACATACAGCTGATAGACTGAAGCAGCCTTTAGGTAAAGTGGCCCTGAAGCCAACAGCCAGACTGCAGCGTCTAGTTTTAGTCCCACAACAACAACAGTGATGGAAATGAATCGTTTGTAAAAAGAGCCATCATCTTTAAATCAATGGTTTTTACATGAATAATGTCCCATTTTAGTTAGCGGGCGGATTCAGTTGCTGTTACGTCTAACAGCAGTGCCAAACTCATCATGAATAAACAACAAACTGTGTCTCAGCAGAGTGACATCACAGGAAGTTTACACCACGCTGACGGGCTAAACCGGCTCCTCAGAGTTCCTTAAAGTGGGAGACGAGAAGGTCTGAGGTGAGATCAACACCAGGCTGTGGTGATGTGCACACTCACTCACTTAGCAAGGACACTGCTGTAAAGCCAAACAGAAAGTTATAGAAATAATAAAGTCAGCACATAAAGAAAGCCCAGAGTTACACAGAGGGACTTTTAATCAGGGCTCATCACAGGAAAGGAAGCACAGCAACTTTTTTAAGGAAGTTGAAGTGACGACGTGTATGAAGCTAAAAGGAAACCGTTTTCATTTCCCATTTCTCCCAGTGAAATACTATCGCTTACACTCAGAGTTTCAGATGTTTGAATATTTGCTCAAACACTGAATGCAGCCTGAATCTCCCAAATGTCTCGTCCTGCGGGTTAAACAGCTGCAGTAACGAGTGTGTCATGTTGGTTGCACACACTGGCCCCGAGTAGAAACAGCAAAGTTTCCACGCTGAGCCAATCACATGTGTGAATCTCCAAAGGAAACTTTGTCACAGGGTTATTTTACCTGGATACATCTGATTGACCTGCTAGAGTGACTTAAAGTGCGCACACTAATCCCACAAAGTTTTAAAACTACTAAGATGTTGGACTTGTTTCACCGAGACAACCAAACATAGAACAAAATAAATAAAGCAATAATTTAATGACCTGTTTACATTTATACAGACAGGTTAGAGTCCGGGTTAACCGTGATTGGTCAAACAGACCATTGACAGTAATGGAGCTGACACACAGAGCGTCCTGGAGGGGTTTGAACCTCAGGTCTGAGGCAGTAACGGCGCCCCCTGCTGAAGCGCAGGCATGTTTCACTCGCTCACATCAGGAAACATCACAACATGAGCGCTTAAGACGGAAACATTATCCTTTATTTTGTGTATTCTTGTATTAAATAATGAGGTGCAGATGCTCTCTGTGAGCTCCTCACGAGGTCAGCAAAAGCAGAGATCCCTTAGACGGGTGTGTCAGACATAGAGGCCCCGCCCACCTGTCAGGTACAGCTAATCAGACAGACTGGCTAAGAGCGAGGATTATCTGGAGGGGAGGGGGCTGCAGCAAGGGCAGCGTAGGAAACATCAGGAACTGTGAATCATGCAAAGCATCGAGCCCAACAACACAAACACACACAGTGAGACTTGGTCACAGCTTCTCTCTGTGAACATCCTCCTGCATGTCTAATAAGACACTTGGTTAACCTGAGATTTCAAATACACAGAACAGCTGGGCTCTGTTTCCCTCAGACTTCCACCAGTATAACCAGTGTCATCAGGACAGATAGCAGTTACCTTTCACTTGTCACTAATGGAGCGACCCAGGTTTAAACGAACTTCCAGGAGATGGTTGGTGATGGTGCAGGAAGCTGTGACACAGACAATCATCACGGAGCGCTTCTGTTCAGTCACCAGTACAAAGCAGCACACTTACAGGTCTTACAACATGAGCACCGTTTGCTTTCTATGCTAACAGCCTGTTGCTATGGCGAACGTACTCCGTGTCACATGTCGTTGCTTTAAGGGAGCAGGTAGCAGTAGAGGACGTAGAGCAGCGCCATGACTGCACAGTAGAAGAGCAAGAAGTCTGCGGACAGCAGCGAGGTGGAGGACGACGAAGCCTCAGGCGAGGAGTGGAGGCGGGGCCGGTCCTTCTCCTCCCCCTCCACGGCCAGCAGGGCTGTCACACAGCGCAGCACATTGGGCAGCTTACACAGAAGCACATCAGAGCACACACACACTTCAGTCTGGACAGGAGAGGACACACACGCACGCAAACGCACAGGAAGACAATATGAGTAGTTATATTGTTAAAGCTAGGACATCAGAGACGACAGGACAAAGGGCAGAACAGCAAAAAGCAGATTTAGACTTGATTCAAAGCACTGTGATCACTGCAGACTACACCAGGACAGCGTCGGGACGTGCACACGTTACCTCGGGGACTCCCAGCCGGCGACAGGCGGCCACAAAGTTTTCCACGTTGAGTCGACACTTTGCCAGGCTCAGTTTGGGCTGCGAACCACACACACACACACACACACACACACACACACAGTTATTCTCCATCACAGCAGGAAGCTGCTGCTGTACTTTTACACTCTCTTTGCTGTTTCACATTCAACATCTTCTGGAAGCTTTTAATGTGAAATCTGAGCAGGAAGTAGGAAGAAGCTACAAATATGTAACAGCAGTGTTAGTTGTGACATGAATCGTTCTGCCTGTAGGAGCACGTCGTGTTTCTGATCATAGCGAGCAGACTTTATCTGCACAGACGCGCTGCAGCTCTCACAAACTGCTTGTTTTACAAAGAAAGGTGACGTGACCGACAGGTGAGTGGACAATGACCAGGTGAGTCATACAGACTCTACTGCTAACAGCAGCGTCATATTTCCGTTTCAAGGCTTCCAGACTCACCACTGCTGGGGAAGGAATGTGGATGATGGACACGGAGCGTGGGCGGATGTGATTCACCAGCTGGCAGAGGATGGTGCCATTGGCCAGAGCTTCACCCATATCCTCTGGTAGAGTGATCTTCAGCCGGGACTCTAGAGTCTGATTAAGGACACAGAGCGTCATGGTTTAAAGTCGACCCCACTCAGGTGCCATGACACTAACACAATTAGTTCGTCCTATGAGGAGCCTGACTGTGACACCGAGCGTCCAGTTTCCCGTTTAGATCACGAGGAAGTGTTGGTCTGTGGGGCTGACCTTGCGTAGCTGAGTGATGTCCGGTCTCTCCTCTTTAGGCAAGCGCAGCGTCGTGCGAGACTCGCTTCTGCCAGACTCCCCAAGAGAAAAGATGGCCCCTGAAAGCAGAGACAGGTAAATAAAGGTGTAAAGGTGTGTGGATTGTGGCGTGACGCTGTGGCGTGTTCTTTGGGTACCTGTGGGTTTGACGCTGCTGTGAGAGGACGTCCGAAACAGGAAGCTGCTGGGTTTCTGGGCCTGACCAGGAGGAGGGGACGTCTTGGGGGAGGACGGGAAATCTGATGCAAACGTCAACAATGCAAAGTGTTAAAGACGCACTCTCTCTCACATCACAACACAAAATGACACACACATACAAACTGAATCGAACAGATTTCATAATTACAACACAGCTCCTCTTCATCAAAGCGTGACTGCAACCACTCGTATGTGGAAGACGAGATTGCTTCACTGAAATGTGCGCTTCTGAGGAACTCCACTTTGATGTGTTACAGCACGTGTTGCACAGTGGGATTTAAAAGAGCGTGTAATTGTGAAACATTCCACCCACACACACCCACTCTCTCTCCTGTGTTACCTGTCTTGCTGCTCGATCGCTGCAGAGAGACTGAAGGAGCGCCTGTGCTCATTTGGTCAGCGCTCTGAGGGAGAAACAAGTGTGATTTAAAACAGCAGACACACAAACCCGTTTACCTCAGTGAACTGAAGACAAGGACAGTACTCACTGCACATCTGTGTCGCAGGCCAGATGTGCCATTCTCTGCTTTGCTGCTTTCTGGTGATGTACCACTAGAGAGAGACACACGCCACTATCAGCAGCAGAACCTCAGCCCTTTGTTACCACTTTAACATAGATTTTTGAACAGGCGTTTGTCTCTATGGCAGGCCTCACGTGCGTTTATCTGCACGCCATCCTTACCATGAACTACTTCCCATCTGCTGTGCAGTGGCCACATGACTTCCTGTTTTGGTGGAGAACTTCAGCGAACTACAAAATAACAGGTTAAGACAGGCGACAGCGCATAATTAGACATGAGAGCAGTTACAGCGTTGACTCGAGGGACACGTAAGGTAAGCAGAAACGCAGAGTCATCATCTTCAAAATAAAAGAAATGTGCAGACGCTAAAAGCAGAATATCTCCGTCAGTATCAACCTTGCTTTCTCCCTTTGCTGCTGCTGAAGCCGTTCTCTCTCCTGCCAGATAAACAAGGTACCAGGTCTCCTTCGCTCCTCTAGGGAGGGGCTGGAGGGGGACAGAGGAGACGAGGAGGCTGAAGATGAAGAGCCCAGCTCGATGTGGAGGCTAGATCTGGGAGTGACAGACACAAAATGGATACAATCAGAGTTTTTTATCCGATTGTTTCCAAGCTCGTGAGCCGACTTCCAGGACTTCTTATTACTGCAATCACTGGCAGCTCGTCTGTTAGAGACGCTGCTGACATACAAACTAAACTAGGACTCTCTGAGAAGAAGCTTCCAACATTTAAACCCTGATTCCTCTTCAACAACACAAACTTTCATATCCAAATGTTTCCCAGTACTGATGTTTGCTTACGATTTACATTCACAGACGTTTGAACCTTTTACTTTATCCAAAGGAAGTCGGGCAAATACGGAGGGCTAAACGTGCACAACTAAACATACGCTGTTCCAAACATCGTTTTAATCAGAGAATGGCATCAAGTCGGTTCAACATGTGAGATACTGATCTGGTCGTCTAAGGAGCTGCTCTGGTATTAATTAAACTAACAGGAGCAACAATGAGACAAAGTCCAAAATAAATAAAATGGTTTTATAGGTGAAAGCTGTTGAGTTTGGTCAGTGTCAGTCAGTGTTCCTGCTGACAGGCTGACACCTGGATCATACAGAGGCTGCACAGGTAGTCCGACTCCTCCAGGACGGCACATCAATACGTGCCACTGACACAAGGTTTGCTGCCTCCCAGCACAGCCTCAGAAGCATGAAGGAGACAGTTAACTCTAGCTTGACATTGCCAGAGAAGGTGCTTAACCCAACAGCATTACCAGGATCTGCTCCTTTGTGCCATGAGCTACAAAATGACCTTCAGCAAGCCACGAGCGTGACCGTCTCTGACCAACAATCAGACTTGGGCCCTGTGCTCACTGCCTGCCCTGGGGCCTGACAGGTCCAGGAGTGGTGCTCCATCCTTTCCACAGATGAGAGCAGGTTCACCCTGAGCACAAGTGACAGGCATGAAAGGGTCTGAAACCTCCAGACCCGGACTTTCATCAAGCATCTCAAACTTGGGATGGACTGGTCCTGTGGTGATTGACTGGAGTTGGACATACCACCACAGACAGACCCTTCAACCACAACTCAAAAGCTTTGCAGAGGTCTTTGGACTGAACTTCCCAAACATCATGCTGATCCAGTGAAATCTGTAGGAAAAGTCCAAGATCAGAAACAGCAAAACCCCGTCAATGTCAGATATTTGATCTTAAAAAGTCACACATGGCACTATGGCTCCAGTTTTGCTCACCCACCAGCATAAAATACAAAAAGCTTTATCACAACAGCAGCGCGAGCAAAGGTCCACGACAATCGTCACACAGAGTCAAACATTCCCTCAGAGCGTCAGAAAGGAGAGAGGCTGTTCTTGTTAACAGCTGGTGTAACCCTGCTCACGTCTCCATCACAGAGCCCACTGCGTGCCTGGACTGTGTGCTGCTGGACTCGAGTTGTGTCATTTGCAAGTGAATTTACCCACGTGACCTTGGTGGCTGTGGACGTTCCTTCCTCTACTAACCCACAGTGCACGTGACACTATCCACTCGGCCACAGCGTGGTTACAGAATCAGCACCCTGGCGTCTCCATTGCTGTCTCGGGTGACTTCAAACACGTCACCTTGGACATGACACTTCCACCCTTCACACAGGATGTGGTCTGTGCCACGGACTGACTGCATGCTAATGTCAGGGAGGCATACAGTTTCTCCTCCTTTCAGCTCTATGTGCCTACTGTGAAGATGCAGAGTGTGACCACAGGAGGTGGTCAGAGGGCTGTTTTGGGGTGACAAACATGCGCTGAGACCCACGGTGAGGACATCAGTGGGCTCACCCAGCGTATCACTGAGCGCATAACCTCCTGCACCGACTCTATTGTCCCTCTATTGTTACCCAGATAACAAGCAGACACTGAAGATGAACTGAAGGGGGTCCAGATGTGGACTGACATTAGACTGACACCAGAGCTGAGGACACCAGCATCTACCTACTCAATCGAGTCTACGCCCTGGACCAGCCGGAGAGGAGCGTGAGCGTCACGTTGTTTCAGTTTCCTGGTGCATTCAGCAGCGTCAGACAGACCTGCTGGGTGATGATCTGACAGCGATGCAGGTGGATGCCTCGCTCGTCCTGGATTGTTGATTACCTGACAGGAAGACTAGAATATGTGCGTCTTCAACACGCCAGGTGATCAGCAACACAGGGAACCACAGGGGGCCTCTTCACTCTCTACACCACAGACATCAGCCACTGCACCTTGATACCACTTTCCACCACCGACATCTACCAAAGCTTTAGCTTTTAGCTAACTAAATGCAAACAGTCTTAATATATTTGCCAAGTCTTGTTTTGTTTAGTGTGCAGAATATAAAGTTATGCATCAGCATACTAAAGGCCTAAAGTTTCTTCTAATAACATGTATCACTCTGGGTTCCAGTGTTATAACACAGTATGAAGTGGATTCATGTTGTGTGAACCTGCAACATATTTAACCTGGAGAACCTTTGTGCTGCACAAAGCAAGTATTGCAGCTACGCTTTGGGAGGTGAGATTTGTGCAGATAATCAATATTCCTCTTTTAATTTTGAATTCAGATTTCTGTTTGTGGTGTTACAGAGCAGACCCTGCGCTCTGAGGTTTGAACCTACTGCAGGTGATACAGCCATGCAAAGCTGACTGTGCTTCACACCACTGACCTGGATGTTGTAGACTCCTGGGATTGCAACGGTGACGATCTGTCCTTCTGATCCTGAAAAACCAATACGCGGTCAACATAATCAACACAAACACAGGACACGACACTGCGTGACAGCTGCAGATCGGCGTGAGGATGACTGGTACCGAAGGAGGCATGGATGTATTGGTCCTGATGTCGTCCTCTTCCTCGGTCACACTGCTGTCAATGAAGTCAACCTGCTCCGCATTTCCATTCACTGTGAAGAGTACGATGGTGTTCAACACGTCTCACAGCACAAACAATGATTTATGGCCTGTGCCTCTTTCCTCACCTCTATTGGATTCCTCTTCTTCCTCCGCCAGGTTACTTTGGTCTCTGTTGACCTCAGCCATGCGGAGGGAGCGCTCTGAGAAGTCGTCAGCAGACTGAACACACAGCACATGTCAGTGAAACACTGATCTGTTTATCTAATACTACACAATGCATTTCTATATCCACTATTATAGATATTAATAGAAGAATATATAATGCAGTCACATGTGACAGTGTGTATCCTGTAACGTTACCTCGTTCCCAGACCATCGTTTGCTGCCGCTGTCAACGCTGTTGAAGCCAGAGTCCAGCCCTCCTAACTGACCTGGAAACAGTTCCTGGTCTGACAGACTGCAGGGAAAAAACCATAAGCACCAATTAAAATAAAGAAGAGCAAACATTGTGTTAGTCGGGGCAAACTGTGAAAGAGCGCTGCTCTAAAGGGCAGTGACTCATGTTTTTAGGCTCTGGTGCAGTGCTAGAGTGGATTTCCCACAGCAGAGGTACTCCTCTTATCTCTGTCCTTGGTTCAAGTACTACAATGTTACTGGGCGGCTAAATGGAAT